TTAACCAATTAGGCCATAAAGGAGTTCACATCCATCAGTTTCTTTTTTTTTTTCCTCTCTCAATTCTCCCCTTGCGTATATGTTCTATTAGAACACAATTACAAATAAACTACTGATCTTGCAGTTCATTTAATAATAATAGTAAAAGAAAGACACATCCTTTTCCACATTAGATGTTTTAAACTGTGGATTTTTTTTACCTGGTCATAAAGATTTACTTCTGGTGATGGAAAGCATTCAAGATCCAATGCTTTTGTTTCCTTTCTCAAGTCGATCCTGCAAATGTGATCAGATTTATTGAATATTCATTTGAAAAAGCGCATTAACCATTTCTTGTACACAGATTTTATTTCATGCAAATGGACTGAAACAAAGGTGGAAGGAAATTTCCACAATAGATTTTAAGCAAAGAAATGGGATACCTTAATTTACTGCAAAGGAGTTTCAACCAAGGATCTTCCTTCAAGTATTCTCCAACAATTGAAACCGTATCGGTCACTGAGCCCAACAAATTATGTGAACTAGGGTCAGATTAGCCTTAACCTTGGAGAAACTGGATAAGTATGTCCAACACATATTTGATTGCATTAATATTATACTCTGTAATAAACAACCAACAACGTTCAACACAAGAAGTAAAGATGCCATTCATATGGATAGGAAACTAGCACAAGAGGTTTCATAAAGGAAAAAGATTACGTCAACTTCCTTAGGCATTAGCAATGAAGTTACATTTGCCTCTATCCGTCTCCAGTTCTCCACATGCAATAATACATTGGAGAGTTTGTTCTAATAAAAGCTAAAACTAGTAAAATGTCCATGACTTATAACAAAAATAAGAGCATCGGATTTCTCTCCCATCATATGAAAAATTGGGCATTTAAGTTCTGAATCATATTTTCCCCTTTTCCTTTTTTCTTAGAATTTTGAAGGTGAGCATTTCTCATCTACCTTTATTTTATTTCCTATGATCCTATCATTATGTTTCTACACAAATCCACAATTAAAAAGGGAATCTAACATCCTAATCTGTGATATCTTCCATTATCTGTTTCTCTTCACTAAACACAGCATACAGTATATGAATATCGGAACTATAAATAATTAAATATATCCCCACAAGTGCCACAACTCCTCAGCTGATGAGATAATGAAGGAAAAGGGGTTGGATATCCTGGGCTATCCAGACCTTCAAATCAAACTATATGCCCAAGACAAAATATGAAGCATTAATGGCACCATTGAAGTATAAAATCCTTCAAATTGTCTAAGAGTCACACAAACTCATTAGGGAAGATAGAGCTCATTCACATGCACTAACAACAAAATAGGAGGTGCTAATTGATTTATCATTAGAACCATACATGTATCTTTCTTATCCCGAGCAGCAAAGTTCTTATCCAATGTCACCAGAGTCTTCCTCAATTCTTCTACCTACAAATTGGTCGGAACCAGAACAGAGAGATGAACTTGTAAGTTTTCCGAGAAGATTTTGAGAGATGGTCTCCTACTGAGTACTGACTATCGTTTTAGAGTGATCAAAGTATCTCTGTCTTTGACAATTAAAGTAAAAATGATATAATTACAGACATACATTTCAGAAGACGCACCTTAAAGCACAGCCATCTAATAACCTTTTCATCATTAAGTCTAAAGAACTTTGTTGATCCCATTTCTGCGTATAATATGAACATTAGCAAAGAAAAAATTAATCAGTACTATTCAGCAATTAGTTCTCAACTAAAATCTTGACAGCACAAGCATTAACATGAACTTCGTGATGTATATAACCAATATCAATAGTGTATAGTCAGAAAAATCAAAGATTATGGGCTTCTAGAGGAATAATCAAGGATAATTTTGAGGAATAATAGCAGATTCAGGTTACCTTTAAAATCACAAACCACTTGCATGGATTTCTCTGCAATGGATGAAAGATACTGATACCCAGGATAACCACTGACATAAATTATTTCATCCAACTGCCTAAACATTCCTGGATCATCTTTTTTCTGCATTAACAAGACAATGATAATTAATAAGCAAATAAATGTATAAAGAGTTTCTGTTTCTTCAGAAAATTTTACATTTTCCAAGGATCACCCATAGACCAGGAGAAGATTACAAAACAAAAAGCAATAGGCATTTGCCAAGTGTCTAAAGTATTAAGAAATCAATTTGGACTTGCTTATGTACAATTAATAAGCACAGAAATTCATTGCATCATATCTACAAAACAAATATGGAAAATGAACAGATGAATTTGGGTTTGCTTATGTACAATTTAAAAAATAAAGAACTAAGTAGAAGTTTTTGCAGTCAATCAGAAGTGCTCCATACCTTCATTCGTGCTTCCTCAAAAACAGGCAACAAAACAAAAACAGGATCAACTGGTGTAGCAGTATATAAGCGCCCATCTATATTTGAAAACAAATTATATTTCAGTATGTTAGTAAAGAATGCTTTGGAAATCGCATAGTTTCATCCTAAACTGCTTGTATGCAACAACAGACCAAGATCAATTGATTCTTTACCTTCACACACGTAATCCCCAAGGAACCAAGACCCATAAGAGTGCTTGAACCAATGAACTTCTTGAAGAGTTCCATCAACAAGAAGATAACAAGCTTTGTCTCCTGTTTTTAGAAGTTATTAACATTACAAAAGATAGTACAAGGTCTACAAATTATATATAACTGCAGTGTGAAAGCTAGAGTGGCATAGCCTGTACAGAAGAAAAGGTCAATATAAAAAGGGATAATAAAAAGAAACAAAAGATTATTTCAAAAATTTATTTTTGGTTGTTTACTTCATGATCTCTATTTTTCATTTATCCAATTTTTCAATTCCCCAGTTTTCCATTTCTCTAGAAAAAAAGGGGTTTAAAATGTTGTTGCACGGATTGAAGTGTGGATCTACTGTATATCCGTGTCTTTCTCCATTTCTCCAAATTTGAAGAATTAGTTAAAAGGATTCTCCAAATTTTAGCAAAATGGAGAACAATTCTCCATTTTTCAAATTGGAAAAATGGTTTTAGTAAAAAAGTTTCATATTTTAGTTTTCCATTTCTCCATTTTTATTTTTTTTTGGAAAAAATGACTTATTTCTCCGGTTACTAAAGGCAATTAATGGAAAACAGGTAAAACCAAACTTTACTAAGAAACAGACCAAAAGGAAAACAATGAGACAATACCAGATTTTGGATGCCGAAGAGATAAAAGCTCCCCCATGCCATTCCCAGTTGCAGGAGGATCTCCAATTATGAGATTGGAAACTTAGTGAGTATTCATTATTCAAACTGACAATTAAACAAAACAAATAAGTAAATAACTACAACCATGCGATGCTACCTGGCGCAATAAGAACACGCGTTTCGTCAACACCTTCCCACCAAGCCATGATACCTATCTTCTTCACTGAACCACAACCACAGAGAGAAAGAACCAGATGAATAAACAAACAAATAAATAAATAAATTTGAACGTCATTTCGCTCTCCGGTTGCATTCACACAGAATCAATCAATCAATTATGAATCAACCAAGCATATGTACAAATGAGAGGAAGAAATGCAAAAACACTCGAAAAATCGTGTTCAAAGAGCATTAAAAGGACGGCACAAATTAGATGTATAGGTTGATAAAACGGCGCTTGAGAATAACAGAAGTGATGAGAGACTGAGAAAAAATTCGAAATGGAACCTGTGGCTTTCGGATTTTTGCAGTTCCGGCGGCGTCTCCTCCGGTGACCTTTACTCTATTTCAAGTGTAGTGGCGGGAGTTATACCCGGCATAGGTTAAATACTCTAAAACGTTTGCAATTGTGCCCTTTATTTTTGCTCAAATTCCAAACGGGGCCATTATTCTCCCTGTTTTAATTTTTTTCATGCACATTTTATGTCATTATGTTTATTTACTCACAAAAGGCAAAAACTCTAGCAATTTTTTATACATAGACGGTCAAAACTCAATCTTACGTCCTTATCCGTAATTTATTATTCAAAAACCAATTAAACTATCCGTGCAAACACTCATTAGGTTTATTATTTATTAATCAAATTTACTATTTTTTTTTATTTTTTATATTTAATAATATTTTTAATGTAATTTTTAAAAATATAAATATAAATTTTATATAATAATATTAAACTTAATACTACGAAAATAATTTCAGCCAGATTTTGTTAAATAAACAAGACACATAAATATAAAAATTTCTCTAAAATTCATAAAAATATCATAAACTAAAAATAGCAAAGATGAGTATATTTGATAATTTATTCCCTCCCTTATTATTTTTACGGAGTGGTATTTTGCATGCTTTGTTACAATTTGCATGGAAGTAACTTTATTTTTATATAGGAAAAATTATATTTTTCGTCTCTAGTTATAGGATAATTGTATAATTCAACTCTAAATGTTGGTCATACTCACTTTTCATTCTTAAATTATTATTGACGTTGCACTTTTTGTCTATTTACTATTATAAAATATTAGGGACAAAATTTTCAATTTTAGTATAAATCATAGACAAAAAGTAAGCATAAAAAAATAAAAAGTACAACGCAGTGAGCATGACCAACATTAAAGGACAAATTTAACAAGTACCATATAACTTAGAAACAAAAAGTACAATTTTTCCTTTTATATATTGTTGATTACATTATTATGATGTTGATTATATAGGTCACTTGACCCGTCCTTTCGGGGTCATTTTATATCTTTGACATTGTCAAAGTACAACATACAACCCCGGAAAAAAAAAAATTGAGTACTAGACTAGTATAATTTTTTTAGGTGTACTCAAGATTAACACAACGACTAATTCCCTTACTGAATTGTAAGCATGTCTTTTGAGTGGGACAGATGCTCTGGAGATTTAAGACTGCACCATACCCAAAGCTAATGATCGAACCCTTAATTTTTGGTTAAGGATGGATGAGTCCCTTCCACTCAACAAGACTCCACATTACTAGGCTGGTTAAAAATTCACTATATAGCATATGAGGAAGGCAAAATTAATTCATTGCATAAAATGCAAGCTAGCAAGTCACATATAGTCCATAATTTTTAGTCCAAAAAAAATAAAAATGATTAGTAGTAGTGATGGTAACAATTCTGCATTCATCACTGTAACCTAAAAATCTCTTTCCCTCCTGAAGCTATCTGCAGGAAGCTGGAGTAGCTCCCTTATCCCTTCGCAAACCTGCATATATACAAACCAACAATATTGTTTTTAGCAGATGGGCATTGTGCTTTCAAAAGAAAATGAGTAAGTCTTGTGTGAGATCGTCTCATGCAATACTCTTTTAGTTAAAATATAATATTTTTCTATGGACTCATAAAAAGCATTACGTTTTAACTAAAAAGTATTACACATCTTATGTGAGATGGTCTTATACAAAGGTTACTCGAAGAAAATATCGTTAGTAAGCGTTGAATGGATATTTGCAATTGTAACATCTCATGCTAAATTACAAGACTAGGTGATTAGCAGTAGATATATATTGTCGACGAGTACCAAGAATGATGTCATTATTTATCTACAAATCACGTATTTGATCGCAAAGCAAAACTATACATACCATTTTGATCTGTGCCTTAATTGACGCAATTAGGCGAGTATATTCTTCTATTTGCCTGGATCCAAAAACCCAAATCTTTTAGAAAAGGTGAGGCTATTATGTAAACAATCTGATTATTTTCGTTGCACTATAGATTCAGAAAATGTAGTATTACTGTAGATAGATTAGGAGTTTACCCAGCCAGTTTCTTCTCCCTCGCTGAAATGTAATTTAGAGCTTCAGACCAAGTGAACTCCACGTGGAAGCCAAGTCCAACATCCACAATTATGTGCCTTGTATCTGGGCTGTTGAATGCACAAAGAACCAATTAAAATCGGAAGAAAAGCAGCATACTTCATATGTTTGAGACATGAAAATAGTGAAGGACGATAATGTAAACATAACATAAGAGCTATGAACATGTAAAAATGATAGAGAAGACTTACACTTCAGCTTGCATGTAAACTTCTGAACCCAGATTGACTAGTGACCTCAGACTTGTCACACTATTCTTCTCCAAGTTTTCTATGTTTCTTCTCAAATCTGAGCTAAAAGAAAGGAAAGTTGAGTCAAGGATACTCAAAAGGATCATATTCATGCTAAACAGACAAGCCTAGCGAGCAAGGTGTCAATATCATGAAAAATCTATATAGCCTCACTGGTTTTCAGAGATCTAAGGTTTAGACATTAGACTACATTAGACTAAGCATTCAGGGAATGAGCACTTCGCCAGTAGATTAAACCCAACTAGATGAGAACAAATTACAAAAAGTGGAGGCTGACTTGACAACATAATTTAAATTCAAGCAAAAATGTAAGGATACAAAATCTTTTGCTGCTCGAAGACCTTATCCCTGCATAATTACATGTATAAATGGAAAGAAAACCAGTTAGGGCTGCTTCTAAAAAAAAGGTCAATAATTCTTCAATAATTTTCTACATATATACATTAATTAACCATTCAGAGCTATACGCTAGATTGTTCAAAGATCTCCAGTTCATGTTAATCACAGCTTTATTTTTACAGAAGTTACTGTGCCACCCTTCCTATATACTCCATAACCAATATGCTGGGATTGACAAATTAAGAGATCATTCAATGACCTAAATTGATTAAGTGTTATGAGAAATTGAGAATACACAATAGAACTAGAGGAAGATAAGAAGAATGATATATTTGTTACATACCTTTCAGCAATAGCATGAACAAGATCTGGTTTCAAACGGTTATCCACAAACTCCTCATATCTTCGTACTTTCTCTTGTTTATTAATTGCATCCATTTCAGCCCTCTAACAGTGAAAACACAAAACAACAAGAATCAATTCAACCAACCAGCAACAAAATAAGACACAGAGTGTACAGCTTAATAACTTTTATTATGTACCAAGCCAGAGAAGGATCCATTATTGCATTAAATAACAGTGAAGACTAGTGGAGTGACCCAAAGAAAAAATTCCGTTACAAAGCTTTGAACAATTGAGAAGAACTAAAATCCAATGTTCCCATCTCAATAGTAAAAACAACAGAAAGAGTTGAAGCAACTTTACTTCAACTTCAAGTTATTGCTTGGCTGATCTCTGTGAAAATATCAGGTTTATGGAACAAACAAAGAAGCCAAATTAGCCTAGAATACGCACAACTACTTAATACAAACACCATCAAGGCCATAGCTAAACTACTTAATAGGAATTTTGCATTGGAACTATTAATTTACTCGTCCATCTGAATTGATTTAGGCATCATCTATCTCTTATTTTATGCAGGCACTGCATCAGCAACAGATATATGAAAAAGCAGAAGCATTTGCTGGGATAGCCTATTCCCAAGAGAAGTTGCTCAAGAAGCTGAAGGAGTACAAAGGGGATAACTTGGACATTATAAATGAGGCAATTGCTTTTGTCGGTGAAACTGTGGAAGAAAGTAATGATCTCTTGCTCCCTCCATATCCAACCCAACCTTACTCCCTAGTTACCACACGCGCATCGCGCGATTTGACCAATGCCCAATGTGTTTTCTTAAATTAGTGTTTCAGAATTGTTCAAAGTATTCATATAATAGAGAGATCAAATATGCTAAAATCTGCAATACTACAAATTTTGCAGTTCAAATCATAGTAGGGCAGTGTGGATGTGAAACTTCAATTGTAGAAATAGTGAAACACATATTAAAAAGCAAACTACTTCATACATGCACATATATTTAATAGCTAAAACTACTATTCCTGATATGCAATGTATGAAATTGTCCACATAGTAAGCACTTTGGTGTTTTATTTAAAGGCAACATATACATACAAAAACTTAACCCCACTTTCTTATATACTTATATATAAGCTGCAGAAATGTTTTCTGAGCAATTTCTGCTGCAAAAAATTATGTTTTTCAACACATTTAGGAATAAAATACCAAAAGCTAACACATAGAAGTGTTTTCTGAGCAATTTCTGCTGCAGAAATGTTTTGTGAGCGATTTGCTCTAATATACATGTTTGTTCATAAAACTGAACTCCTCATCCCATCTTGGATCCCTACTTTTCTTCAGTTGCCTCATAGCCATTTAACTATTTAAGCATAATTGACTACAATAATGCCCGAATAGGATGTAAAAATATGCCCCAACAATTTCAGCAATCAAACTAAATAAATCAAAGAAAAGAACAAAGCCTAAATGATTTCAAGGGTGGTGCTAGTGCAGCATGTAATGGAAAAAAGGGGATTAACAGAACAGGGATAAATAATGTAAAAACCCAAGCAAGGAAATCCTCATAATCAAATTTGCAAAGAAATAAATTAAAATCAAAATTTTAAAAAGGAAAAAAAAACTACATCCTCTATCTATTCCTTCTGCCACACAAGGTTAGCTGTTCCAATTGAACTAAGTAAACCATATAAAACCTAATGGGGGAAATTTACCAGTACAAGAAGGCCGGAGGAGGTTTTGGGGCTAGAAATTTGAAGCCTCGGCTCGTTGAAAGATCCTGTTCAGATGAGGGTAAACTAGCAATCAATTCTGCTGATTCGACGATGGAATGCCGGGATGCCGACACAAGGTTACCTGCTCGATTCCACAAGGTTGCCGGGAGGTTTTGCGGCGTAGCTTGTTACCTACTCGATTCCACTAACAGCTGCTATTCACTTGATGGTTCCATCAAAAAACTTAAACGGAAAATATAAGATGACTGAATATATGGATATTTAAGAGAAAATAATAATAAAGGGTAAGATAAGAAAATATTAAATCAAAAATAATATGAATCATTCCTAAATAATTACACTAATGTTTTTTTAGTTGTTATGAGTCTAATATTTTTGGTTTTTATTAAGTTTGTAGGTATATATCTTTTTTCTCTTTTCATATAATGCTCCATGTCAGCTTGCAATCCATATCCATCCTCTTTTAAAGATAAATCCAGTCTTAGTCTAGCTCGAATGCTCAATAAGTCCAATCTAGTAAAATATTCGGAAGCTAGAGAAGAGTAGAGAATGGTCCTATTAACTGTTCAGATTTGAAAGTCTAAATATGAAAATGTGTGTATTTTATATCTAATTAAAAAAATGTTAAATAACATTCTTTATATCTCATTGTGTATGTTTTGTTTACTATTCATTAGTAAAATCAATTATCTTTTATCAATTATTTAGTATTTTTAAAATTATTTTTAAATTTGATTTAATTGTGTTTAATACTTCATAATACTTTTAATGTAGTTTCTAAATATATAAATTTTGTATATTAATACTAAATATAACATTATAAAAAATTATATTAAAAATAACTTCATTCAAGCATTATTAATTGAAACACACACGTAAAATGGGACGCATAAAGTATTTAATACTCACGCATAAAGCCACCGTAGTTACACAATACTTTATTTTAAGAAAAAACATTGAAAATTTATTAATTCACATAAAAAAAAATAATAATAAAGTCACTTCATGCATACCATGTCTCTTTTAGTTAAGGCTTCATTGGCAAGTAAATAGGATGCCCTATGTAGTTGTTTTGCAAACAAAAAGATACTCCGTAATATTTTCTTTAATATTATTTATAATAAGATCAAATAAAGAAGTATGAATAATTATAAAGTTCTTATAAATTTTGCAACACATTCACTTTTACTTAGATTTTATCTACCTCTAGATTCTTCGCCTATTTGAGAACTTATCGCCAACTTTCACCATTGTACCATTACTCCGTTGCACTTAAAGCACTCATAATTAGTCTCTTAAACACTATTTTAGAACATCCACACTAGTCTCAGATTTTTTGAAGTTTTTGTCATTCCATGTAGGAAAGAGAGGGAGGAGGAAAGAGGAAGCAGAGAAAAAAAAATGTTAACAGTCTTCAGGGAGAAAAAAAAAAAATAATAAGCCATCATTTACGTGCCAGCTAGGCGCAGCAGATGCGCGAAACGCGCACCTGCCATGTTATCTTCATATCAATGATGTTTGTAGGGGGGCCCACAAAAATACATAAATTACAGGAGTTAAAAATTTCAAAAAAAAAAAAAATCACTTCTCACACTAATCCAAAAAATATATGTTGGTTTTTTATTCTCAAAATTTGAGTAAAAATCACTGATGTGGTTACTCTTAATAATATTTAACAGTCGTGAACAACTACATATTATTTGACCCTTTAAATGGCTGAATATCGTACTTATAGATTGATTTTATAGGTGTGCGTGATTTTTTTTTACTTGATATCTCGATTGATAATAGAATAATAAGAGTATTTTTTTAATTTATAATTTTAGTCTATTATTTTATGACGTGCCAAAATAAGAATTTTTATGCCAATGCGTCGTGATATGTTTTTTCATTTTCGTGTAAACATAATGTGCATGTGCATATTGTACTTGTACATGCAAGTTATACAGCAAAACATTATAAACTTTTAGACTATGTTACCACAATAATTGAAGATCACAAGTATTTTTATTTTATTTTTTTGAAAATTTCAATGTTGCCAAATTATATCTTGGACGTCATGAATCCACTCATGAAGAGTAAATTGAGTTTCGAAACTCAACACCAAATTATACATTTTTTTTTTTTTTTACAATCACAAGTATTTTCATTATCATTTAATAGTGATTTTTTTTTTAACAAGAAAGTTTACAGCCGCTACTCAAATATGTATATGAGTGAACGACTTTAGCAAACAAAAGATTACAAGAGTTAAATCAATGCCAGTAGGCATCTCTCATAAAAAATTAAATTTGAAACTGTTTGATTACCAAATCAATCATCCAACCAAATTAGTTGTGGTTGTCCCAGCAACGACTCTCTTTGATCATAACTGAACAACAAATTGCAAATATATTGATAGTGAAAATCTGTCTCCACTGTGGTCAAGCGACATAACTGTGAACCACCAAGCCACTTGCCCTGTTAGCTTCACCAAATGGACATCCATTTTGCAGAAATGCAAATCTGATATCTTCATCTCATCCAAAACAACTTTCAACAAATCAACATTGCATTCACAACTTTGCCAGAAATTCAAGCATAAGCAAGTGGAAAAACAGAGAACCAATGAACCATTTGTTTTGCCATTTGAAATCAGAAGAAGCAACTAAAAACCTGCAATACAAACACAGATTTTGTTTCTCTGAGAACAAAACGTTCTCGCCATATCTATCCTATCCATCAGACGAGACAAACAAAAGTTACAGATCTAACTCCGGGGAATCTATGTTTCTGTCAATGAAAACAAAAAAAAAAAAAAAAGTCTGTACTCTCAGTTCTTGAGCAAAGTTTTCGATAACATGGTTTCTGTTAACCCCTATGGAATGGCCAAGGCTTCAAGAACGGGTTGGCTCTCCTTGTTTGCTCGTTCCATTCTATACGATTTACAGCTGAAGTAGAAAACGGTACTCATCATGGAATCGAATAGCAGCACGAATGAGTACATTATCACCAAAAGCGGCCCCTCCCATGCCCTTGAAGATCCATCGCCATAGCTCAGAGCCTTCGATCTATGCTCGAACAGCCCCTCCACGAATGCCATCCCGATTGTTGATCCTAGAAATATAAGGAGCCCGACTTGAGTCTGCCCCTTGATGAGGGAGCTCGACCTAAGCAACGCCTGAGGCCCCGAGACCTCCTCCAACACCGAAATCACAACTGCAACACTACAAATAATAGTACAATTCGCCAAGATTATCGAGAAGATCATCCCCACTACCATTGCAGGGTACAAGATCAAGTCCGAAGGGAACCCCATGATCGAAAAAGTGGAGCACACGGCAACAAGGAGCACGAGGAACAGCGCGAGGCAACCAGAAATCAAACAGCACGCCCACAAGTAAGTCACCACCACCCGCTTCCAAATCTTGGTAATGATCACGAAAAACTTCAAAGGGCTGAACTTTCTCCGGGAATAAGTACAATCCACCGAGTAAACAATTGCAGCTTTCGAGAGCAGCAAGAAGACGACATACAGAGGGAAACACATTGCACTCGAAATCACCATCTCTGAGAACTTCTGAACAGACTGCCTAACAAAAGGCCTTAGGGAAAGTCCACTGGACTTTGCCACAAGCAAAAGCCTAATTGTGAGAATCTTCACCATGGATTGATCAACCAAGACATTGGACAAAGCCAAAGCAGACACTGGGCAAATCAACAAGGCAGCAATGGACAAGAACCCCATCAAATTGTACCTAAGAATCCACACCGTTTCTCTCAGAATTTCAACAGCATTCAAGGAGTGAAAATGGTGATCCAATGCTATTGACCCACTGTTGGTCACTTCCCATTCCAAATTCTGGAGATTTGAGTCCATGCCCTTTGGCTTTTCCCTTGCACCCGGGCTCGTTCTCGGGCTGAACCCCCCAGAAATCTCCATTCTTTTCATCAACCAATCAAACATAAATCAACACCTAACGGTCTGCTGAAACACCGTGATTTACCACCTATACAAATCCTGTTAGCCGGGATGTGCTATGAATTTTGCCTTTTTGTGGGTGAAAATTTGACAAAATAAGTCCTCTCAACTAATGGGTCGCTGAGTTAAGTAATTTACCTTCTTCAAAAATTCTATCAGGCCAATATGTAAGCAAAGAATTTCGCCTTTCGTGAGCAAGAAATACACGAAAAATGCCAGCTTTTGAGCTCAAGTGCTACACCACCATCCTCCCATCACTAAATTAAACGCACCCAGAACTCAAAAACTCACAACAGCAACAATTCAGATCAGCATTTCATCAAGCACACCCCAATCGTGACCCCTCCTCCTCAAGAACAAATCACACTGAAAACCCAATCCCCAGACAAAAGTGAACAAACAAAATGCGTGCGTATATGAAAGCGACCTGGATCCGGGAATGGGGGAAGAGTGATTCTCACGAAGTTTTAAACATCGGGCAAAGAATCAGAGGAAGCGTGCGAGCTGAATAGCGCCGGAGACGGCGGAAAACACGTGGGGCCGGAAGGTGAATCACGTGAACGGAGAGAAAACTGGGGAAGAACAATAGCACACTATCATGGCGAGGCTCGTAGAATCGAAGAAGATTTTCGGCGAGATTGAATATGGAAATCATTTACTATCACCCATCGCGTAACGCGTATACACGTAAAATATACTTGTGGAAACTTCTGCGCTTGCAATTATTATCCTACCTTAATCTTTGATTTAGTTTGAATGCATCTATTTAAGGATAATGCTTTGATTATTTCAAAAGACAACTATTTTGAATACAAGATATTCACATTATTTATTCAACTTCAATGCTAAATTTATACATTTTTTGAAAACCTAAATTTATACATTATGATTATTAGATTTCTTCATTATGATGGTTAGGTAAGGAATAATGTTATTTTCTCATTTTAATTTTACGATATCATGTTTATACTTTGATGTAACAATACAAAAATTGTGTAAGTCTTAAACTTGAATTGATTTGAGTTTTAAATCTTCAGGCCAGCTGTCCCACTCAAAAGAAGGCTCTACAACTCAGTGAGGAGATTATTTACCGTGTCCGACGGTGGAAACCCTGGGTATACAAAAAAATAATAATTTATGTATTAACATGAAATGATAGACTAAGCTAATTGTTAACAAATCTATACTTATTTATGATTGGTGATGAAAATTCGTAGTCATTATCCAGAGTATGTATTAGATAAATTTCGATCTTGTGACCCTAGTTGACAAAATATCACAATAAAGTAAACAAATTAACTTTCACATAGTTGTTCGACTCAAACTTAAGAAGGCCAATATACGATAATTATCATTTTCAACCCTAGTGTAACAATCCAAAGTCTATTAGCATGTGTAACAAATAGCATTTATTGTAACCAGTTTGATTGACATGAGTGACCAATATAACTAGCATATACATCACCCTAACCTTGGCAATTGTATTGCTATAATTATAACATCGAGAATGATATCCAACTATTTATTTACACTTCACATTATATTTTAAATATTATTTACATATTAAACACTAGCATTTCGGGTTAACTAAACTCATCAATTTACATTTATCTATATAGTTGCTACTAGGAGTACAAACAAATTAAGTCAAGTTCAAATCTAAACAAGCTCAAGTTCAAGCTTGAAATAGTTATGATGAATCAATTTTGGATTAAATCAAACTTAAAGTTTTAAATTCAAGTTCAACTCGTAAATTTGTGTAAGTCTTAAACTTGAATTGATTTGAGTTTAAGTTTGAACTGTTACTCTGTATATATCAAGCTTGGAACATTTATGATGATTCAACTCTAAGCTCGATCAAACTTAAAAGTTTAAATTCGAGTTTGACTTACAATTGTTTATAAGCCTTAACTTAATTTTGAACTGTTACTCCGTATATAACTTGTCATTGATATATAGCTCAGTAATATAAAAATTAAGTTTGATTATAGACTCAACAAATACTCGAATTCGAATCCTTAATGAAAAAGGGACTCAGCTTTGGAGCCCTTTTTAAATAATTTCAGTTGTTATATTATAGACTGCGGTGTATAATCGATTATGCACCGCGGCCCATATATGGCGCCGTTTCTTTAAGTAAAGAAACGGCCCGCCGTTAGAGTTAACGGAGTCCGTTTGTTTGGTGTATTAAAAACCAACTGACACTGCAGTATATCCAAACCGACACTGCAATTATATCAAAATGATACTATAGTTATAGTGAAATGAAACTGCAGTGTATATAAACTGAAACTGAATAACATTTCACATATTTGAGTGTATATTGTACAATGAAGCTGTAATTATATCAAAATGATCATGTAATTGTGTTTTAATAAAACTATAGTGTATATAAAATAAAATTAAATAACATTTTCACATATTTGAGTCTATAAAATATCGAATGAAACTATAGTTATATCGAAATGAAACTGTAGTTGTGTTCAACTGAAACTGCAGTGTATACAAAATGACACTGAATAACAGAGTTACTTTTTGTAAAAGGGTGCGAAACAGCGGAAATAAACACTGTTAATTTTCATTTAAAGACGCGCGGTGTATAATCGATTATGCACCGCGGTGCATAATATAATTTGCCAAATAATTTAGGAGCGTCTTGATTTGTTTACACCCAAGTTTACGTAGCATATGTTGCGCGCTCGCAGCGCCACGACGCTCCCCTATCCCCTGTTGTTGTTTGGACTATGGATTGTCTGGAGTCTGGACCGGGATAGATGGAGGGATGTGCGCCGTTTGGAGTTTTGGGATGGTTTTTACGTACGGGTTACGTTGTTTTATTTATTTTTGTTTTATTTTAATTGAGGACAGGTGCAGAATCCTTGGCCATACAAAATTTCAAAATCAAAATACTAACATTAACCTTTTTAACAGTTAAAGTACCTTTAAAAAAAAAAAAACTGATTACATGTGTTATATGTAAAACTCCCGTTGTGAGTATAACCAGTAACAAATTATAATGAGGTAAATTAGCTATTAACCGGCTCAAATCAATAAGGTTTTGAGACGAGCTTTGAGCTTTGTAGTTATTAAGTCAACTGTTTAATTAACTTGACTCGATTGTCTCATTAAAAAGAAAAAAAGGGTGACGAGAGAAAATGATCAAGCCAACTGTTTGTAATTTTTGAGTGACGAGAGAAACACACAACCATTACTTAGAGTAAACACCGACTTTGTTAACTTTTGGATTACGAAATAAACCCGTACCCACTATTTGGAATAAACTCCGACCTGTGACCCTAGTAATAAATGACCACAATGAGGTAAACAACCTAAGTTGTCCATCAATGACATATTCAAATAAAAAAGGTTAGTAAGTCGCTACACTGAAAGTCAAACTTAAAACTTATTGTTACTAAATTAACAGTTTGACATTTTGGTTTAAAAAAAAAAAAGTTTGACATTTTAGTTGGGTTGTCGTTTTCAATTTAAATAAATAGTTTTGTACTAAATTTATTACGAGTCATTTTCAAACCCGAGTCATATAGTTTTGTACTACATTTGTATACTTTCATTGGAAGTATTTCCCTTATAAGAATATGCATGCATGTGTGTCTATGTATGAAGTGGTTTAATTTTCTCGCCTAGTAGCTAGTATAATAATGTTAATAAGTTACTTTCATGCATGCCTGTCATAATAGGCAATAAATAAATAAATTATCTCTACGTACAATGCTTGATTAGTTTATTTTTATTTTTCATTTTTCTTTTTTCATAGATTTGAACATTTTAAAATTTTCATCAAAGCATTGCAAGGGGACTAGTAGCGTTGGTCGAGACGAAACTCGGTTAAATACCAACTCCTTAGACAGAGTAGCGTTGCAAGGGGACTAGTAGCAACAAGGCATTTAAGCCAGGGCCATAGAACTAGTATACCTCCCCAAGAAACTTCCCTAAGTCATGTATTCTCATATTTGAAGTAAAATTGTTTGGATGATCTATAATATGGTTATAAACCTGTGGATAAGGCCTTAAATTTGGGTAAACTAGAACATTGATTTACTTTATGTGCTTCATTGCTTTAGAAAGACACGAGCGGAGCAATAACCAAATGAGTAAACTAACATGCTTAATCTATCCTTAAAAAGGCACTAAATTCACCTAAAAGGCACTATAACATGCTTAATAGGCATATAATTCAGACCTAAAGGCACTAGATGCATACTTAAAGAACATGCTTTGCTAACATACGCATAATTATAACTCATGCTCCACAATTAAATTGCGATACTGAATACAATTTAAACTGAAATTCAATATTAAATTAAAATTCCAACAAATTGAGACAGAATAATTTGATCAAGAATTATAATTTAATATTAACTTTAGGTAAAAAAACCATATGAATAAAACCCTTAAGAAGAAGCTAAATATGATGAAGAGAAAAAAGAAAAAAAATTCCTGCAAGCCCAAAAAAATTTTAGGCCCAAATTTCTGGCAAGCCCAAAGCCAAAATTTTTTTTTTTTTTTTTTTTGGAGCCTAGGTCTGGCCGAATTGGGCCAGACCCGGCCCAAAAACCAAGTGTCATCATCTTCTTCATCTGCGTTGCCTGCTTACAGAAGAGGCGGAGCGGAAAAACAAAACAAACCAAAAAAAAACGGAGATGGAGAGGCCAGGAGCACCCGGCTCCACCACCACCTCCGGACCGCCACCGCGCCCTGCCGCCACGCCTCGCCCTGTCTCCGCCGCCGGCCACCACCGCGCCATTGAAGGAGGCAGTTGGTGGCGACACTATCGGGAGCAACCCAGTGCCGCCACCACCGCCGTCCTTGACAGGGTCGGCCAGCGCCACCAGAGGGGCGTGCCTTGCCGGCAAACGGAATCCGGCGAGCACTCCCCTGGCCGGCGACAGGGAAGAAACCAGCGAACAGGGAAAAAAAAAACGCAAAGCAGTTTACGGGAGAAAAAACTGGGAAATTTTTTTTTTTTTTTTTTTTAACTAAATGCGGAAAAAGAATACACAATTTTCCCAGCAGCCCAACACAATTGCACAGAGCATACATATTCTAAATTATACATGAAAATATAGCATATGTAAAAAAAACTGAATTGTGCAATTTAAACAAGGCTAGGCAGAGATAAAATTGGATCTGATACCAAATGTAAGCACATAATCCACGTTATAAACAGTAAATACGTGGCTAAGGAAAAGAGTTAGGATCACCAACCTCCAGCCATAGCTTTGATTCTTGATCACCAGGGACTCGTTGCAGAAGTTCCTCGGGCTGCTGTAGAATCTGCGTAAGTTTCAGTTATGTTTCTCTCACTTCTCTCAGTGACTCTAGATAGGTGTATGATACGTCAACCAAGCAGTGAGAGGACTTAGGGGTCTAAATAACCTACATCCCATCAATGTAGGTAACCAATTACCTAATGCTGACTAAGTTCTAATACTTAGTCAGCCTATTGATTTGCACCACTTAAATTACTATTGTTATTATATAATAATAGACTTAATAATAATAATAACAATATAGGGAAAACGTTACATAAAAATATGATTAATATTTATTTTCATATTACCGTGCATTAATTTAGACCGGACCAGACTCTCCTTTGTTTGAGATGCTCCCAGGCACGCAGACCCAAGATCTCACTTGTCTTGGACTGGACAAGTACGTAGGGATATTTGTGGGACCGTGTAGGGAGTCTGATACGAGTATATCCACAGTAGA